CCAAAAAATTACATTGCAAATGTACAATGTCGATGGCAGAGATCTGTCATAAATTAAATCAGTTCTAAAAGCTGGATTTTTACAAAAGGTCATATTTATTTGTAAAAACGAGTAGTTTTTATAATTTGTGATTGAAGTTACAGCAATTTATAAAAACACAATTCTCAAAAACGGCCCTCATGTTTTTCTTCTAAGGTACAGTAAAGAACACTTAAAATTGTGCATTTCTCATTTTCGTTTAAATTTCTGAATTTTCGATTTCGTAAAATGTGTTTCGTCTTTGCCGACGCAACGCGCCTCTGAACCCCTGTTGGGCGTTGAGCGCCTGTGTTGGGGAGCGTTGAGCAAAGAGTAATCACCCGTTATTATTTTATCAAGTTTCGTCACGGCGCAATCAGTCAGTGCCTTTTATCCCTTCAGTCATGGGCTCGGAGCCGTTAGATCCCGGGTATTCTAGACGTCACCCATCCAGGAATTCGCGAAGTCTCTGAATTAGCTATCGTACTACATTTAGTTTTACCAAAGTTACGTTGCAGTGCTTAGAGTGGAGGCACACAAGTACGCAAAACTTCGGACGCGTTTTCACTTTTCATTCTTAATTATGAAAGCATATGTAAAAGTGAAAGGTGTCACCAAATGGTGGAAATTATCATAATTTTGAAACAGATATGTCTTTACCCACTTTGTGATATCTCCTACCGTTTCTGAGTGTACTGTTTGAATATGCGAAGTAAAACGTTGGTCTAGGCGTATAAAAATGGACAATTGAAGAACATTTTAGAAAAGTACCCTGCGATTCCATCTTAGATTTAGATGCAAGTTTGTAGGCCGATTCCCACATATCTCAAAGGAACGTCTTTGGAGTTATAGCTTTATAGGTGAAATGGTTTTTGAGATACAGCGATTTGTTTGACACCGTTTTACGAAACGACCATTAGATTTTGCAACTTTGGGAAACAATACTTCATTCTTTGTTATCACTAACTAAATGACACTGAGCGCACTTGTACATTTTTTGCTCTATATATTTGAACTGATATTAATTTTCCATTTAGTAATACACAGTGGGTAAATTCCAGTAAAACACAACCACTACATTTCTTGGTTTAGCACTGAAGTTCCTTATTTATTGGTAGAAATTCAGATACAATTTATATACCTTTATTTATCACTGAATGAAATATATTATGTGTGTGTCTATGTAGGGGCCTCATTTTTCGAATCGTGTGTATGAGGGAGCCTCAAGGGTTCTAAAAACGGTCCTGTCTACTTAAAATAAACATTCAGACATCGCAATAATTTTGATGAAATGCTAACCCCTGCAAGTGAACTGCAAACGACTGTTTTCTCGAGGCAGCATGCAGTACTCCTAAGAGCCCGCTTTTGTGAGTAAAAAGGCGAGCCCACCGGAATGATTGCATAAAAAAATGAAACTATGTATAATATTTGTTTCTTCTACGGAGTTTTATTTTCATATAACATGTATCTTTCTATGAGATGTTCATAATTGCTAATAAAGCGTAAAAAGACTAGAGGTGCTACAGAATGGCACTTTCCATATTAGTAATATATTTCCTTTGTTCTCGGCAATTCTGTCGCAACATCTTCTACAACTACAACAAGTTGTTACTCACATTTATTTGCAAATCGGTATTTGCGCACTTAAGAATGTAAATGTTAGAAGTCGAACGTAAGAATGTAAATATGCTTCTGTAGCATTACTCGCACTCAGTATTTACCTGAGGTTCAAGTTCCAATGCAATACTGTTCGTCGGCGTTTGCACATGTCTTTTTTAAAATACGTTAATACGGATGCAAATTAAAAGAAATCTGGGGCGATTCCCTTGTCGCATTCAACGTATCCTTCATAGATATATTTGGCTGGCGTTGGTTTAATTCCCGGCATACTCACTACAATGGCAGCGCTAGAACACATTTTTGGATTTTTTTAAAACCTTCTGGCCGGATCCAAAAACATCAGTTCACCGCCAGAAGACTGAGATGCATAGAATGACACCTACGTTTCGATCGGTGCACGGGAAGTAATCTAATCGTGAGTGACAGATCCGCACACACGCAATTACTCAAATACTGTATAGGGATTTTTTTCTCAAAACACAGAAAAAATTACATCTTTTATAATATAAATTTGAAGATCTGCGAAATGAAATATCTAATTTTTTTTTAATTTGTCCCAACATTAGAGGGGGGGACACTTGCCCCTGAATCTGATTTTAAGTACGCTTTTTATTTATGTAATAGTGTGTTTGACTAGTATCTTCTACGTTGATCAAGATTGTATATTCTAGTCTTTTGAAGTCAAATATCTAAATAAGGGAGGGAAATGTTCCTCCCTTATAAGAGACAATAAGGCAGGGAAATGTTCCTCCTTCCCGCTCAACTACGGCTAACACTCAAGTTACGCCACTGTACGGGAGCAAGGATCCTCTTTTTCGGTACAACGTAACCTTAATACGAGTTTTTCTATTGAAAAATCGTCGTTTTTGCTGTACTGCTATATACGAGACAGTAAAATCTGTTTGAAGATGGCATGAAGGAGGAGGGGGAAGGGTTGTTCACTTTCGATCTGGTTGTAGTCCAGTTTTCCTGATCCATTGAGCAAATGCTGAGATGGCCCCTTGTTTTGCTTGTGGACGTAAATGTAGCTTCATTATGCGCACGTTTTGTTGGACTCTCTTTTTACTTTTAATGGTAAGAGTAGAGGTAAGGGCGGGTTACTATTTTGTTAGCAATGCAGAAAAATCATACTTGCAAATCGTTTACCGTTGCAAATGTTGGCTATAACTCGGAAGCGAAAATGTCATTTTTTTTAACTTTTACTCATCTTTCAACTTCATCTTTATAGTTTAAATTACGGAAGGGATTCTGGAACTCAAGAAAACGTGTGCAAATACTCTTCTCCCCCACACGACACAAAGTTTTTACTTCTTTTTTTCTTTTTATTTATTTATTTTTGTCTAAATAAATCTAAATCTAAAACTCTCCAGCCTAGCAAACAAGTATTTTATGTCAATGGTTTCTGCCGGTTTCTGGTGCAAAACCGTCATCTTCCTTAGGGAATTCTTGGGGGGTAATGTATGTGTAGACAGTCAGTAATACTGACACGTGTGCACATACATAAAAAGTATAGCATTATTTTATACATCCAACTCTTCTAGGACAAACATTCTAAACAGTGGTGAATTTGTGATTTATGAACATTTTAGGTTTTTACTGTGTAAAAAATTCCTTTAAATTTAACCTGGATTATTTACCTTAAATAACAGCTTGAATTTTACTACAAATTATATCAAGAAATGTTTTAAGTTATTCAACCAATGCAATTCTATGATGTTCCAGGTCTTTACTATGGGATAATTGGGTCTGAATTACTACTTGAAAAAATGATTGCCTTAATGCTTGACTACCTTTTCGATTTTCTCACACTACACCAATGTAGGTGTTGGCAAGATCACAGAATATTTCAAATATTCAATACATTCATTGCTTTTTTTGTTATACACCTGATACCAATATATCGATGACCCCATTCCAAAAGGCATTTCACAATTCTGATTTGAGATATTGCCATTTTAAAATTTAATGTCACTCTGAAAATGTCAATTTACATCACTTGAATTTGAAATTTATGATATAACAGTACAAAATTATTAATAAACTTCAAATTCAAATGATGTAACTTACATTTTCAGAGTGATATTTAACTTTAAAACAGCAATATCTGAAAACTTAAACTTTAAGTTGTTGCCTTTCAGAACTGAGCCATTGATACACACGAAAATAAAGTAATCCTCTTTAAATGTTTTGTAGAAATAGTAAATAGTTTGAAAATTAAAAACAATGAACAAAATACAACTGAAAAAGAAAAGTTCACATTTCCTCTGTCCAAGAAGTGGTACAAAAATACGTTCTGAATTTTACCTGACAAATGTAGTTTCTCAACAAATAAGTATACTTCAACTTTTTCACCACTGTTACCTACCAATTCACAAAACTTTTGAAGATTGCGCACAATTTCTCTTTTGATTCATCAGTAGCAATCTAAACCTTCAAAAGTTCTTCCAACAACTAAGGAAGATATGTGTGGAACAGTTTGTGATGAAGCAGTATGCAACTCAACAGCAGTACTTACAAATGAGGAATTGAGGCACTTTAACAATGGCATTATAGTTGCATTTCCCTGTTTGATCGTTTGTAGATTTTTATTTTAAGTTTAAAGCATTGTACTGTGGACATAGAATTGATGCAAATACTGCAAAACCAAAGTGATATAAAAACAAACAAATGCTGTTTTTGAAGAAGTAATTTTCTCATTTGTCAGACACATTATCGACTAATAAATTCTCTAGGTCTGCCCAAAAAAGAAGCAAACGTTTAGAGAATGTGGAGAAATGGATCATTACAATAAAAATCTCTAATTGCCTGATGCAAAACAACTTGTGCAATAAAAAATATGAATGCCTGTAATCACCTCCAGTTTTCTAAAAGGTTTTCAAGCTGGAAATGTAATAAACAAGGAGGAAGGGATAGTTGAAAGAGAAGGAAAATCCACTGATTAGGATAACACACTAGGAACAACTGCAAAGATATTCCAAGACATTCACAGAAGGAAAAAGAAATCAAATAAAATAATGATGTCTGTATGCTGTATCAAATGCTTAACTGTTTAATTTATTTTATTTTACATTTCCTTCGAAATGTTTTTTGCATTAAAGAGTGGTATACAAATGGAAGTTTTCAAGGAAGTTGTATTTGGTACAAGTATATTTTAAACAATAAATTAAGATTTTCAATAATACAATAATAAGCTCAAGTCAGCCCTCAACAGCCAACCTTAATACACTACAGAACTTTCTGTTTGAACATGTTCTTTTATTTTCACTATATACAATATTTTAAAATACATTTATTTTTCTTTGTAGTGATCTTTCTATTGTTCTATAATTCATATATTTATTTACATGGTACTAAAATGTACTTTACATTTCATATACAATAAAATGATTTTTCTTTGGCTTATATGGTTCTACAATATTGAGGCTTTTATTTGTGCATGAAACCATGCTGTATTTTGCATATATTCTAAAAATAAATTCAAATAATACATATTCTAATATTTACGTTTATAAGAATTTAAAGGCATAATATTTTTCACCGCTCTCTACCCTTGCCATAATGCTACACAGTTTTGTACTGATGGCAAGTTTGAGTTGACTGACTTCCTTGGAGGCCAGAGCAGTAATGACAACATTAAGCAAAACTATTGTTGGGTGAACATGTTCTTGGTTATCTTGGAAAGAAAATGTTAAGTATCATCTACTTTGATACGTATTGATTATCAATTTTCCTACAATTTGGAAAAGAAGCTTGTTGATGTAACTTTATTTAACAATGCATACAACTGTAACTACAAGCTAATTACTATCCTAAGTAAAGTCTCTTTTCACACAGTTTTCTTTTAATTCACAGAAGCAAAATTTGCTGTATTCTCAAAACAAATTAATTTGTGTTTAATTTTGAAATATTCAATTGGATATAAAGCAATTGTAATTAAAAAGAGGGAGGTTAGCAAACAATATCCGAGTATATAATTTAACAAAATATAGCCAGTTAATTTGCATTAATATATCTTTTAAATTTTCTACATTTGCATACTTTCACAAACACTATTCTTCCTCCATGCAAGTTCAGTCACTTTAGAACTGTGTATGTTCTTTTGTTCCTCAACCACCCACCACTCCATTTGTTTGTGTCCTAACATGATTCGGATATAAAAAATTTCAGCCCTAGTTTTGGTTCCAAAAATAATATTTTTAACAGAGATGTCACAGAAATATCAACAAGCCAATATCTTGCAGACAAAGTTCTAGATTTGTTTTCTGAATTGGTCTAAGAGAAAGAAAAAAAAATTTGTTTTTGACCAGATAGTGCAGGGACAGCATGTTTTGTTTATCATTATGAGCATGATTGAGGAACTCAATCTAATTTTGATAGTATAAGTTAAGAGAATATACATTAAATTGTCTTTGAAAGAAAAGAAAAAAACTAGAAATACAAATAGTTTACTTAGATATTTCTTAGGGGGGCTAAGAACATGAAACATTTTGATTTGTTTTTGACTAATAATATAAACTGTCTATTCAAATACATCGTGTGTGGTACTACCAGTTCTCATCTTACACAGTATGAAGATCATCATTTGAATATTTATACATGCTTCACGATTGTCCTTTACCCCCCAAATCTTTTTAAGTTAATAATTTAGTTTCTCAGAAACACACACAACACCAATTTCTCTTAAAACTGATGACCATGAACACTATTCTTAACACATTACTCATGCATTGATTTAAAAAAGTATGCACTAATTATAACATTTAATACAATTATAAAGTTAGGCATGTTGAGAAAGTTTCTAAGTAACAGTCTTGAAAGAAGTTAAATTTTACTATACTGAAAAGAAAAAATATATACATTGCTTAAGATTCAATTATGTTATAGTAGTAATACAAAAGAAAAAGACTCAATTATTGCTTAAATATACTTAGAGAGACTTGTTACTGTAATACTAAGAGTATAAAGTAAAGAAAGAATAAGTGAGAAGAAAAATACTAAATAAATATTAGTTTCTTTAAGTCACCGGGTCATTGTTTAGAAGACATTAACAAGACATACTTTGAAGTATACTGAGTGATGAGACTGGGTTCAAAGTTCCATATAACACATGTTAAACCCTGTGTTACACACAAAAGTGTGTAAAACCTGTCCAATTCAAATTGCACAAATTTTTACTGCACAATAATTAAATTACATAATACTTCATTACACCACTACAAAAAATAGTGAAAAATAAAGAATGTATATTAATACATTTTTCATACTAAAATGTTTTACTGTCATGTAGGCTCGTTAGTTGAGTTACACATTCATGGCATACATTACTAATTACTAGCAAAACCATTTGCTATATAATTGTACAATCACAAGACTAGTTAAACTGGAAACTCACTGTATACATTATGGCACTTTATGTGAGTTGTAGTTACTTGTATTTCTCTGTCAAATAGCATAATGATTTTTGACTTAAGCGGCTGAGATTAATTCTAACGTTATTTTTGACGGAAATACAGAAATGAAACATTCATACAAAATTTAAAAGAAACTGTGCGCTGGTATTATACAATGCAAAAGATGTTCATAGAAGGAGGCTATACATAGTAGTACAGAACAACGGCTTAAAAAATAAAACTCATTCATTGACTTCATCCACTCTCTCTTTTATGTGCTGCTGCAAATAAGTGCTTTGTAGTTCAATCTATAAATTGAGTACCATACATATCCAACTATAAGTAGAAATTTCAATACTCTAAGTAGAAATTTCAACACTCACACACATTAAATAAATTATGTTGGTGACAGAGACCACTTACTCTTGTCAGAAGGAACATCAAGGAACTGATGCTGGTGCAATATTTCATCTTTTTCAGTCAGAAAGCATATGAACAAAGCTAATGGGAAACATTCCACAACGTGATGGATCTCCTTCCACTAAACCCTCCATCCAATTCTCATCATCTGTTTGTTCATTGGTAACAATAATTATCTCACCCTCACGGAATGACAGTTCATCTTCGTTATCAGCTTCACAATCATACAAAGCACGACACCGTCGCAAGGACGGCAGGTTTGGAGGTCCTCCTCCTGGTGTGCTCCCCATAACACTACTACTTCCCGCAGTGCTTCCAGAAACGCCACTGCAAGTGTTGACCATGCCCCCAGATGTCCTCGAGGGTGGGCTCCCACCACCTTGAGGCTGCAGTGGACACACAAAGTATGGCTACTAGGGGTTAGTATGATACATTACAATGTAAGCATAGAAAAAAAAATAAGGTATAAAATGAAATGGCATTATCATCAATTGAGACTTTCATGACTAATATGAATAATTCAAAATTCCACAAACGTCCAAAATTTCTTGAAATTTGATTCCATCATTTTTCAGTACTGAATTTCTAAATAAAACCAGTTTCTATTAGAATGTACACAAATATTTTTCTTGTTCTAAATGGAGGCTCTGTAAGATGGAACATACATTTCAGAATGATGGTTTCCTAGGTAAAATATGTTACAGAACAGCTTTATTAAGTGAGTTATCAATTACTTCTCCCTAAATCCTGTAACTAAAAATGCATGAATAAAATTATACCTACATTACAAAGTTCCTAGGTACTGAGAAAATTCCCATCTTTAATAGTGGCACTAATATGACCTTTTGACCTGCTTTAGTATATTCTTATGGGAGGTGTGCCTGAATCACTAGAATTAATGAGGTAAGTTCTCACCTTTCTAGGGGGAGGAACAGGATTGTGCAAACTTCCAGTGGATTCAACATCTGATGACATGGATGAAATACTCTCTGTAGAGCGTCCATTGGAAAGACGTGGTGCAGGTGCTGGCGGAGGCGGTCCACGTGGTCGCTGAATGCTACCACTAGATCCACCTTTGTCAAAGCCAGATCCAAGGCTACGTAAAGGAGGAGGCTCCCCTAAAGGCAGCACTTGTTTCGCCCCAGCTGCATTAAAGAAACAGAAATTTGCAATATTAATTTTGAAATTCACACTATGATTTTTTTAATGCATCTTTAATAAAAATGTTTTGCACATCTGCATATCTGCACTCAACAACAAATGTACAATAGAAACTGAAATGAAGTAAACTCATAACTCAAAAAAGTTCATAAAGTAACAGATGATTATGTACATCTAAGAGACAACTGAGAACAAAAGGCAAAACCAAGATCATAACAGGAAAGTTCACTTTGCATTTTTATTCTGAACAGTGAAAACTAGAAGGCAAGTTAAAAGATTTCAGAACAGTACAAAGCACTTAAAGAAATGGCATTTCAGATATCATTTCATGCATAATTTGTAATCCCACACAAAGAATGAATAATGTGAATAAGTGTGGTCATATTGATTCAATTTCCATTTTGGGTGCTACGATATTTCAAACAATGTGGACTCATTGCAATGCTACAGATGTCCAAGAAAATCCTATCTCTAATAAATGTACCATTTAAAAAATATTATTCCTCCAGAGGTCAAATGGCATTGTCAGATATGGCTATTCAACGATGAGCAATACAGGTAGAGAAACAAAACCCACCCGTAATAAAAACTATGAGCCGTAGGTTCCTTCAACGTAATAGGAAAATAGCTTTATACCTCAACAACAAAATGCAATTTTAACTAAAACCTTTGCCTTCAATCCTTAATAGTTTCTGATATGATAAAGACAATGTCAAGCTGATGCATTTCATTGATTTACTAATTCTTGGCTGAAAATTCTGCTACCTGACTCAGTAAACCACTCAGATCTTTGTATCCATTCATCTTCTAAACGTCATATTTCTCATGGAACGGAGGCAACCAAAATCCAAGCGACAGTATTTGGGTTTCCATTTCATGTTTTATCTAATTTGTCATTTCCTTTCATGTCACAACAGCAAGATGAGAACATCCGTCCTTAAAGCAAAATTGAAATTTGCAAGCCTCTACCTCTCTAAATTTGTTTGCTACAACAGTTTTCCGAGTTGCCCGAGTAAGGTCAACAAAGAATTATATTGCACAGAGGGTTATTCTTTTCAGATTCTACAAAATGACCTGCCAATTCCGAATCTTACACCCCTTTCATACAAAATACATCAAAAGATAAAAGTGCTCAACTATGGAGTAACACAAAATTAAAGATCTAAACAACATACAGACCTAAATGAAGTTATATGACTTCTTTGAAAAAACATCCCATTAAATTAACTGTGCTCTTTACAAGTAAGAGAGAGAGAGAGAGAGATAGATAACAGGAAAGAGAGAGAGTGAGAAAGGAGAGGGAGAGAAAGAAGAAAGAGGAGAGCAGATAGAGAGAAAGGGACGGAGATTGACTGGTGTTTCCGGACGTATCAACTCATTGGTCATTATTCCCTTAAGTGTAGTGCATGCTTTTATCATGGGATGTAGCGGTGATCTTCCCTGTTAATCGTGAGAACCAGCGCCAACCTACCGTCGGCTAACAGGGTTTCCCCAACAAGATATCTCCCATCAGCGGGGACAAGCTTTAAGCTCCTGACTTTAGTCTCCCGGCATCTGTGATAGTGTAGGGCATTATAGTGTAAGTATGTAAGTAACAGTGGATAGGACAAGGAAGCGCAAGGAAAGATAGAGCGGGATACATGGCCAGTTTGTTAGGGTACTGTTCCGGCATTCACCTGGTACTGGTCGGAGGAACCACGGGAAAACTGCCAATCAGAGCATTTGGCTGCTACAATTCTCCTCCAGACAGCGACTGAATTCGACCAAGCTATCTAGCCAGAGTCTAAAATCCTGCCAACGTACGGAGTGGAAACTTAGGACCTCCCGTTCAGAGACACTGCAGTGACATCCGTTGATGCTCGAGAGGGAGAGTCTTGATATACAAGAGAGAGAGAGTGGGAGAGAGGAAGTGAGAGAGGGGGAGAGAGAGGGAGGGAGAGAGAGAGGGAGGGAGAGGAAGGGAGAGTGAGAGAAAGCTCGTGTAAACTCACTTGTTTGTTGTTGTTTTTTTCAAAGAAAAAAATAAGCACAAAATTCACCCAATTTATCTTATGCGTAACATTTAAACAATTTATTTAAGTAAGTACTATAATAGATGCACCAGATACAAATAACATGAAGTTTGTTAATGAATGGATCTCTTAAAACCTTTTCAAAAAATACTACTTTAATTACCAAATGGTTTGAAGTACATTATAATTATTTCTTAAAAGGTTTTTACTTCTAATCTTCTCAATAACATTAATAGGACACTGTTTGAAAGCATTTCTAGAGTGAAGTTTGGAAGTATTTACAATGAGAAATGAACATTTGTAACTAAAAGTGCATGCTAATTCAATTGTGATAATGTCACTGAAAATTGGTAGTAAAGAAGACTGAATGAAGAGTAAGATCTCTTTGCCAAAAATTAATTTTATAAGTTCAGAAAGTAAAGTAACTTTTTGGCATGCACACCCGAGGTCCCAAATATACCCACCACAGGGATTTCTTATCTTTCTCTCACGTAACTTTTTCAATTAATATTAAATTCTTCATATGCACATACACCATTACTATTATCAGTTAGAAAACTATTATTAATGATAATATTAATAATGAAGTTTAAACTAATTTCTATTTTTCTTTAAACACATTTTAAAAATAAAAATTATATTATCTGAGTATATATAATCATGAGAAAAAGTGTTGTGATGTTCAGCATACCCGAATTTTATCAATTCTTGTGAAAAGTTCCTTTCACAATTTAAATGTATAATCCAAATTCAAATCTATCATTTCTATTTTACAGCCTCAATTTCCTGTAACCCAGGTTATAGTCTAGTCAACATGTGCAACACATTATAGGATGTGCAATTCATTATTTCCTTAACCTTTTATTAAAAATAAAAGTAAGCAATGGCCAGTTTTTGAAATGCAACATTCATAAATAACTCACACAATTCAACACCCATCAAACTTTTCTACTTCAGCACCCTCTTATCAATTACATCTCAAATTTCAAAATGGATATCTTTACCATCCTTTACCACATTCATTACTTTTTTCCTTTAACTAATGTATTCAATAATTTACACCAACAATTTTTTTTCTTGTTCACAATTCAAAATGGTAAAGAAATGTTTCAACATGGTATATTCAGGAAATGTTCCTTACCAAAGAATAAAAGAATCAGTAATTACCAAATGTAATTGCCAAAAAAAACAGAAGTATTTCAAAAGAAATGTCTCAATTGGTTGGCAAACCCATATGATGAACACTATATAATGAATATTAAGTATGTTAAAATTTAATCATGCATAAGAAACTAGCATATGCAAAGAACAAGCATGGGCAGGATGAACATGAACTGTTCCATTGCAAATCAAAGACAGGAACAAAAATCACAGCATAAAATCGTACTTACGACAAGGATTAGAAAATCTATTATTTGCATTCATTATTATAGAGTTAAAAATTATTTTCTCAAACAAAGACTTTCTACACACTAATAGAATTGTTAGTTTATAAATACTACAACTACAGTGATGTTCAAAATCTTAGTTTTACATAGAGATCATACTTCAACACTCTAAAGTAATTAATGTTCACTGCACACGCAAAACTTTACTCACGCAAAATGTGACTGCTTCTGTTTCCTGTGTTCACAGCACCTGAATCACTTGAGGGTGAGCGCTTGTGATGATTGAGGGTGCTGTAACCACTGTGGGTGTTAGGGAGTATTGGATCAGACGGTGTGCGGCTGTGGCTACTTGGTAACGTACTGTAAATATTGCTCACTGGTGGTAATGGTGCAGCACGCTTCTTCAAACTGCCATGGACATTGGGTGAGGGAGCTGAAAATCAATATGATTTCATTCTAGGAGATGGACATTATTTGGTTTTGACTGAGATAACTACCGATATGACTATAAAATCCCAAACACTGGTTTGAAGTATCTAGTTATTCCAGCCACAGCTAATAAGTATGCTTTACAATACTGTCAGAACACTACAATATGGGCACCATTGAACAATTTTTTTTACTGATCTTTCTACACCCATTGAGACTAAAATGATCTCTAAATGAATTTAAAATGTAAGCTACAATACATTCTGCCATTAATGTTAACGATTACATGAAAATTCAAACAAAATTAATACATATTCAACCTCAAAATCAAAACAAAAACTCACTAAAACAGTATCTTAAATATCTTCAAATCCCACAAGGGACATAAACACCACATTGGTTGATGTTCACATTTATAGAGCTATTCCCAAAGAAATGTATTTTCCATGCGAAACATTGAACTGTATTCCCAGTAAAACTCAAATCATTAAACTTGTAATAATTTTGTTCTTAAATTGTGGCATGTTTTTCCCAATCATTCTGGCACCGAAGACTCTTGCATTTAGTAAACAATTCACTTATGGTTTTGAATTGCACTTCTGATGGATGTTGTTAGCAGTGTACTGTGCGAAAACAAACCCAAAGAAGAGAAACCGTGTTCAGATTCTAAAGATGCAAAATGTCTTCATGGTGCAGTAAAAAATCTCAGGAAATAAGGTTAATGCAGAATGCCTTGCAGTAGAGAATCTCTACTTTACCCAAATTATTCATTTATCCTGTATCCTATGAACACACTCAAGATCTGTTGGAGAGGAACAGTAAAAATAAATTTGTTGAAATGATCAGATGTAAAAATATAAACACACTAACACTTTGAAACTAAGTTATCTGAAACTGTAAATAACATAAGGTTGAAATGCATCACAAAGATAGCTAAATTCTTGTACAAACGTAATTAGAAAATGGACAGATGAAATTAATGAAACAAAAATGGAAAAGAAACAGAACTTTTCTGTTTGAAAACTGCAAGAGCACAAGAAGTTGTTCAAAACTTCCTACTAACAAAGATGATCTCTTGAATATGGTGAAAATAATGATAATAAAAGTTAAAACAGTTAGTGAAATAAAAAATTTGAAGTTTCACATATTGATGAGTATTTAGTTCCAACAGAAGCAGTGATCAATGAAGATTGAACAAAAAGTGCAGGTAATGAGATAAATAAGACACCACAAAACAGGAAAATGAACACAATGCAAACGTAGACATGAACAATTTACAATCACTTAAGTAACAAACTTGAGACATCATTTTTGTAATACTGTAAATATACTTTTTTCCATTAAACAGAAAGAGAATGTTTATCAGAAAGGAGGATTGTCTTTTGTATAACACTTTGCTTCTGAAACTTATCACAGCACTAAAACATTTCTCAGAAGCAGAAAAACATTCTTAAGAATCAACAACAAAGTCTAAAAACATTACTTCAGGGAGCAAAAAGAAGTTGATTAGGGATTAAGCATGCTGGAATCCAGGATACATTTCCAAGGGTACAGGTGAAGGTTTAATGCTCAGAAAGGATCAGACACCGAGTCCTTCCCAATGTCACAGTATATCAGAATTCCATACTACAGAAGGTTTAGGATTACAGGAAAGGTTAAAGGGTTCTCTACAACGAAAGTGATCTATTACATTGAATGCAGTCAATGGGTAAGAAGTCGATCCAAATAAAATATGAAACTAGTTTCAATAACAGATCTCTCAATAAAACCCATTACTTACAGTTTGTCCACATGCTGTTACTACAGCACACACAGAGTTAACAAGTTAATACGAATTGTTTCATTATCATACAATTACATTATCAAAACAAATAAAATGAATTTATTTGTAATCTTTCATCACATTATGCATATACACAGAGTATCTCCAAAAAAAATTTAGGGGGGATATTGTTTTCTTGACATAAGTTATATTATTTTCACTATTTTCAGATCTTTTCATTCTTCAATTCTCTTTTTTGTGGAAAGTTCATTATCAAGAAATATGTTACATGAAAATTAATTTCAAGATGAATATGAATGTATATAATTTACTCTTTGAATGTTATGATCCAGAAGCAATCTTCATAATTTTAATTCCATCTAATTTTGAAGATGGACATCTACATACATATGTAAGTAAATTGTTATATCTCGAATAACCTTCATACAAATGTGTATTGTGAAAAGCATTCCTTTGAGAAAATTATTTCCAGAAACTAACTCACAGCTTTATATTGTGCATTCTCTCTTGAATCTCTGAAAACTTCTTCAAATTCAAGAAGTGTTTCTGATTTGGCTTCTCATTATGCGAGATAAAAAAAACTTCTTAAAAATTTTGTTTTGCAATAAATGTTCTCAATCACACTATCAATTTATCTATATTTATTCTTATTTTAAGATGCCTGTTTTATTACTAATACAAGATTTCATTAAAATATTTTTGTAATTCACTCTAATTAAAAAATTGCTATAAATTAGGGAATACTTTTTCAATGACAAAGGTGCGTTCTAATATTTAGATTACACAATATTCACAGACACATCTAAAATCTACTGAATCAAGAAAATGTACATGGAAATAAGGATCAGTTTCATCAACTCTACTCTCTTATTGGCTTTAAGGAACTCCAAAATTCACCGCAAACATGAGATTACTGTATATATGCATTGAACACAACCTACGCAAATTCATGCATTCTTGAACATTCTTTACATCATTCATTAAGTCATTCTTTTATCCATTCATTCTGATTTTCTCTGACAAAGTTGTGCTTAGAGTCTTTTCAACATACAAATTCTTAATGTTACTTCAAAAAATACTGTACAATTTAGAAATAACATAATTGAGCACATGTACTTTCGTAAGAAATTTTTTTTCTGTATTTGTTTCACAGAATTATTTTGAAAATTACAATGAATACTTATTAAAATTTTACATTTTAGGACCTTACAATATGACAATTTAACTCAGAGAGCAACATTTTCATTAGATCACAAAATAGTTTACACTGAACTACCCTGAAATGGAAGAGTAAAGATAACTACTGGCTGCAAGAACAATATTTAACCACTGACAAGAAAAAATATTTTACATTCAGCCAAAATAAAATGACTTTATAATTCTTGATAGAAGCACAAGATACTTTACAATCACAGTATAGCAGTATCTCTGAGGAAAATTGAGTCAATGATCACCACTTTGCCCCATGAAATAATTTTTTTAACTAATTTATTAATTTTATATTTATGTAAATAAATTTCATGTATTATATTATGTATTTAGAATTATATTAATTTATGTAATTTATTATTTTATTATCATAAATATGTTTTAAATTGTGCAACATAGAAACAAAACTGCCAGAGTAATTTTGATAAGTTTCACAAGAGTCTGTCCTTCTAGCAGTTATTTCACATCCATTCCATTAATTTAAGAAAGGAAAACGAAATGTTTGATATGACGGCAACCTGATTCAATAAGACTGTAAAGAAGGTAGCTTGTGACGTATCAATGCATAAAGGTATAAGTTTTTAAATAACAGTCAATAATGGTTTAAATCAATGAACATGAATTAATGTCAGAAAATAAAACAAATGTAACCCATGGAAATGGCTTCATTCAAGGCTATAGGCTATAGGCTCATATCAATACTATTTTGTGACTATTTTCTTAAGATACGCTTCTGGAAAAATAAAGGATTTGATAATATGGAAAGGCCTCTACAAAACAACTCTAAATTAGGGTCAAATATTAATGACTATGGAAATGTTCAAACAGTCATCTGAAATCAGGAAAAAAGGCTCTTCAGGAAGTCCCAGCTACTCTTATTGTCAATAACAATCATGAAGAGTACCATGGATATGTGTACCATCATTCACTAGCAATTCTCAATATTCTCAATTCTTCCTCATCTACCACGTATTTGTTGTAGTTGTTAGCCATAACAAATTTAAAAACCAAATTAAGTTTTGTAAAATTTACAGCCATAAAGATACAGAATAAATTTAATATTTATTGTAAATTATAATTAATTTACAGAAGTGCATGAAATGAAAGTAAAGGAATTTTGTTAGAAAATAGTGAATTCCCTGAATCATTATTTTCACAATTTTTTTAGAGCATAGTAAATTCTACAAAATGGATTATCAAAAAAGCTTGCAAAGTTTTGTGTCAATAAAATTATTTTCCAAGTGTTATTCCAGGAGCATTTTCAGGAAATGCATTAATCCAAATATTCTTGTAATTATTAAGATTTTTTGATTTCTTTACAAAATCCAATTTATTCATTCATCAGTTTAAAATGAAATATGGTTTAAAGTTGTTTTTCTTCCAAACTTTGAAAGGTTTGTGATATTCCTATTTCTAAATAATGTTGATAATGAAGTTTCATAAATTAAATCTAAGTATTAATTTTATTATACAGACATATAGAGAGGTTCTAGTTATTAACTTAAGCATGCCACATTAGGAGGCTTATCAAAGAGGTCTGAATGACAAGATAGAATAACATTTATGCTACAAGATAAATGGTCCAGAACAAGGTGTACCACCAAGAACACTTTCCAACCAGTAATAAAGTCAGCTCATTGCACGAAAAAACCAATACTAAATACACACACAAAAAAATTCTAATGGTTATACATAGGGGCTGGATTTTGATGACAAAAGACATCAGTCCAAAAATGTTCAATATAGTGCTCTTACAAAGTTTTAAAAATTCCTTAAATGAAAAGAAAAATGACAAAACATTTGATCAATACCAGTTCAGATGAACAACTCAAGCAGTTTGGTATGTTACTGATGAAATCGAGACTTCTTCCTTTTGTTCAAGTGAACTTAACTTGCAAATTTTTGGTTTGAAGTGTTCTTTACCGGGAAATCTGTCTTTAGTTAACCTGAAATCGGCCAAACTCACAATGGCACTGTTAAGCATCACAGGAACTTTAGATTACATACTCACAACGACTGACATTACAATTTGTAAAGAGTAAAGAAATCAAATAATTTACTCAGGGATTCTGTGGAGAATATTTGTTGCACGTAATCATTACTTGAAGTAAGTTCCATTAAAATGGTTTTAAAATTGTTTAAATCAGGAAAAATCCTTTGAAAGTGGTGGGAAAAGATAAAAAATGACTTGTTTGTAGAAATCTATGAAAAATGCAAAAAAATCATTTAAAAATGGGTTATTTCCTTTTGCCATAACTTAACATTAATGTCTTTACTAAAAAATGCATTGTTCTCAAGTAAACAGAAAAACTGACATTTCATTAATCTGTCCCCTAGTTAAATATAATCTGAAACGATAAAAAGCAGTACAGAAGAGAAATGGAATACCAAGATTTTTGGAAATTAGAATTTCTGTATCCTTTTTATTTATTTAATTTTAAAATTTATTTAAGTAATTTACAGGCAACAGTATTTACATCTGGTATAGCCTGAATACGTTCTTATATAATTATCATTTTGTATTTAACATATCTTTTTTTATTGAATTTTCATTTCTATTGGTATTTTTTACAAAAGCCCATCACCACCCACTGCCAAGCTTACTCTCTACAACATACCACATTTAAACACACCAAATTTACTGACACACAGCCACTGATACCTCATTCATGTAAGCAAACACCAAGAGCACACACATACACACCCAAGTATAAAATATTACAAAACATCAATATACTAATCTTCAATTTTTCCACACAATTATAGTAGCTTATTTTTGCAAGATTTAATTTCATTAAACAAGATTTTTTTAAAAATATATAATAATAGTAATTAATATGAAATTTCACTAAACCATTAAAAAACATATTTAAAAAATGAAAAAATTACACATGCATGAAACATCTAATTAAGTCTGATATTTGGTATCTCATGACTTAGAAGTGTTGCCCCCAAGTAAACACTGGGCATTTAGTGTCGCAAAAAATTGAAAATTTTTCAGTTTGTAAAAGTTTTTCTTATGGAGTTATGACTGCATAATGGTGGAGGAAAACTAATTCTTAGGAGCATGCAATACAATAGGGTACTCACTACCAAGGTTGGGCTTGCGGCTCTGAGGTGGAGGTGGAGGGGGCATCTGACGATAGTTATTGTTAGGGCTTGATGACTTGAGACTATCTGATGTCGAGGATCGTGACCGCAAATTAACAGGAGACTCACCCCCTGCAAAGCTTGGTGGTCGAGATCGCATTTTCTTCTCAGGCGTAATTGAACCATTCTGAAACATAAATGGTCTTGGTAGTGGACTAGTAAATAGTTCTGATTTTTTTAGTATTTCTTTGGCAGCTGTATTCCACTGCTTAGTATTATGATCTGCCTCTTCTAGAGCGCATTGGTAAGTCGTGGGACTTACTGGTAATAGAAGGCTCATCTGAATAGCTTTCATCAGTTATTAGGTTCCACAATTTCTTCTTATAAATGATAAAATTTGAAATCTTAAGTGATGATTTTCAAAAACAAATTTACATTAAAAAAATATATATGTATTTTTTTTTCTTTTCTTTTTTTCATAAAAGAACAATTTAAGAGATGAAAAAGAAAATGGCAAGATTTCTTAGTCATGTTGGGAAATAACTAGCCTATGGAGAGTAAAATATGAACACTCATCTGCACTTCTAAGTTGCTGTGAAATAGCAATCTCATCTTCTCAACTTGTGCGAAGTACTAACACAACTAAAAGAATTTAAATTTAAATGGAATACTCAGATTGACTGAAAATGAAGTGCCAGAAGTTGAAGAGAAAAAGAAAGAATGGAAGCTATTACTTAAACAAGACTTACTCTATCCTCTATGATTGTCTCATCATCAGAAAAGTCAGTAGAGCCTTCATCATGAGAAAGATTCCAATCTACATTGACATTATCGAAATGGCTCTTTTGCCTCTGTAATGCATGTTGTAACTGTAAAGAAAATTTAAATTATGAAGAAAAAGTAACATAAAAATACATGCAACTTCCAAATAACTAAATTTTAGAACTTTTTATAAAACAACTATATAATAGTTCTATTAATAATTAATAGTGCTAATATAATCATTCCCATATTTCTGGAGCCCAATAATACTTTCCTAGATTCTGTATTTCATTAAATATATATAACAAATTAATAAAGAAGTCTACTATGTAAAGTTAATTTACAAATACATAAAATATTAACAGTTATTACTTGACAGTAAAAAAGTGCATAATGTTAAACTTACAAGTTCTTCACAAGAAGAGTGGCCTAGTTCTTGTGCAACTTCCAAAGGTGTCTTATCTAGCCCATTACGCAAAGTTGCATCTGCTCCAGAACGTAGAAGTAATTTCATACACTCAGGTCTGTCATGCATGGCACAAAGGTGTAGGGCAGTGTTGCAACCAGCATTTTCTGAAGGAGTATTGCCATTAGCAGGAGATGTGGTGAGATCCAAGGCTTGTGTTGGCATGTTTTGAACAAGGAAATCAACAAGATGTAAAGTGTCTCCCATTTCTCGAACTACTGCTAAATGTAATGCAGTTTCTCCACAATCCTGCAGCCAATTAACAACAAAACAAGAATTAGTCATAGGTATAACGACACTTACATCGGCCAAAACAACAATTTCTTAACATTCAATTCTTCTATGTATTCATTAAGGGCATATTCAAGAAGAAGAAAAATATTTTCCCTTAATACAAAATATGTATTGAATTGAATTGAATTGATTTTGCCTTATTTTACTTAGCGAGACTCGGGCCATCAGGCCCGCTCTTCCGTCTGACCACGCAAATTTCACTATGCTCCTTTCATCTAGCAGAGAAAGGAGGTATTTCTTGGGCAAGAAACAGGCGATTTTTTTGAATCTAGCTCAGAGGCGTCATTTAGGCTTGAGGATCTTTTACATGCAAGTAAATCTACTAACATGGGACAGCCGGCTTTACTTCCCCTCCGAAGGAAGGCATACGAAGGATTTTGTCGCCCTAAAAATCCACGGCTTCGATCAGGTTTGAACACGCGAGCTTGGGTATAATAGTCCGGTACGCTAACCGTCACACCATCGCCACCGCCTGTATGTATGGAATACTCTTAATTTATATCAAAACTATATGTCTTATTTTTTGTGACAACAAACAACTTTCAATTCATTGAAGTCATTTACAATGAAAGATGGCATTATTAAAGTTTCTTCAAGTGATAAAATGACAACTTCTGAATATCCACAATACAGGAAATAATTGTTTCAGAAGGGCAGAGAGGGGAGGGAAGGCATTTTTGTAGTAAATAATTCTTCAAAACCTAAGAATGTTGACTTCTCTCACATGATCAAAAAGCAGCAGTATCATCAATAATTAGCAAAAGCATAAATGCTAATTCAACTGTCTCTGACAAGCATCAATTCAGACTAATTCCTTCAGAACAGATATACAATTTATCTAGTTCAAAACCAATAATCTGTAATTATAATGAATATAATGTCATCCTTCAGTCTGCCACACTGATTTACACTGACAGTCATGTCCACACAGCAATTTTTTACAAAACATCTGCACAGTGGCAGAATACAATATTTACTTATTATCTTCAATTTAAAACTACTACTGAATATTTAAATTCTTATAACATAAGACAAAAAGCAACTCTACATACACTAGCTGGCAAGGGTGCACATAAATTTACTCCTTCAGCAAAAACTTGAAGCAAATGATATAAATTTTTGTTGTTTACAGCATGCATCAAGTCACTGAGTAAATCTCTTTCATCTGCACATGTTCGTTCTACATATTTCTTTTCAACATATTTAGCACGAATAAACTCATATCGTTCTTCCCTGAAACAAAAACAAATACATTAATACTATTCCACTCACTTCTCTCCAGTACGGGAGGGCTCTAACTCTTAAAACTCAAAACATTGATTCATTAATATATTGAAAATGTTTATAAATGAATGCATTCATTAATCAATGTTTTGAATTTTGTGGTTTATCTCCCCGTCTCCCTGGATGTCTTAATTTCTGACGATATACAGGACTACTGAAATTAATTACAAAAGTTCATGCAAGTGAACTTTTTAACATATGTAAAACAGGGTTACTAACATGGAACTTGAAGGTGTTGGTTTATTTGAATGGAGGTTTGCTTCCATCACTTCATTGAAATTTGAATTAGTCATGTGCCTTGCAAGAAGAAGTTGTGATGTGCCTACGTTATCCAATGTTAGTGACTGGATTCGGGAAATATGCACTCCCAAATCACGATGAATACCAGAGCATTCAATGCATACTATAATTCCAAAATTGGTTGACAACCATGTTGCATCTGTTCACAGAATCAATATAAATACAAATTGGTGTACATACTTAATAAATTAAATACATAATAGCACAAGGAATTTTTTTTAAAAGAGACTAACCATTCTGAGAGCTGCAGTCACAGCATCGGTCATTCCCAGGCAGTTTCTGAACATAGCGAATAATAGCTTGCTGTAGTTCCAGCAAACTAGGGTTGAGTTTTCCACTTCCTGTTCTTCCACTATCATCAAATGCACGCATTAAAGCACCTTCTTTACAATTAACCAACACAGACATCCAAGCTCTTTGGTCTGCCTCATCTTCTGCTTGGAAATGGTATGTACGATTATCTGTTAATGAGAATAACCTTGCATGTAACATTTATCTCTTGCGTGTATTATTAACTCTCAACATATAAGCATTTTGATTACAATACGACTCTCTAACATTTGTTCACACAACTCTATTCTGCTTTTTCAACAAAACAATACTATCATTCAATGATGACGCTTATCATATAAAATAATTCTATGAAGAATTACCAGTATAATCACAGAGAGGATGTAAACATTTAAAAAACTATACTATATAATACAACAGAAGATACCGAAATAGATTGACTTAGCGACAGGTGACCATTTAAATACTTTCTATAAAAATTATTTCCTACCATTTAACTGAATTTATCATAAAATAAACACACTCCACAAGTACGGAAATGTTCAAATGCTTACAGGAAATTAGATCAAAGCATCTTTTGTCATCAGGCACCATTTTTATTTGACATGTAAGTAAATTAACACGAGTAGGTGGCTTGCTTTCATCAGCATGACAAATATCCAGAAAACCTTCAGCTTGAACACGGCAGCGTCTCTTCTGCCACACACGACGCATCTTTCCTTCCGATTTCTTTAACAAATGGCCTGAGCGTGTTACTCCATGTTGTTTATCACCCTGCAACTGGTGCAATGAGTAGCCACCAGAACTACTACCACTTCTTTCAGAGACTGCACTTCCACTTGTATTTAACGATGCAGTAGACTGAAAATTAACAATTAATTATTTAAAAATTCATTTTTTATCCCAGTCAGGTAAAATATATTGAAAAATTATGTTTTTTTAATGTGACGGCTTTCTTGTAAGATACTATGACTATTGTACAATGAAAGCATTGCAACTTCAGCAACTTTTGACAACAATGATATATCAAAAATAGTGCTGACAAATTATTGGCAAACATCAGTATGTGGTAATATTTGAGAGAAATATAAAAATAATAATATCAGGTGAAATTTAATTATGGGTTTTCGTGGGTAAAAAATGACATTATGACTTTCCAAGTAATCTATCACTATTGCCCCCCTTCAGAGAAGTATTATATCACAATTAATATTAATGTATACTTTTGCTGAGTTGAAACCGAGATGAATAAGAATCATTTTTTACATTACTGCCCAACAAATGGAATGATACAAAAACAAAATAGAAATATGAAATGGAATGTCATAATTACAAAATAGAATTATTATTCACCTCTTTATCTAAGCCTGGTGAGCTGCGCAACAGTGTTCGCAACTCAGCTAATCGCCGACGTTCCTCATCCTGTTTCTGTCGAATCTTCTGTAACTTAACTGATAAGTCAGCCACATAGCTGCCAAAGTGCTCAATTGTCTTAAGACCATCCTGGAAATAACTAAAGAAGCATTTCGTATAAAATTTACTCTTCTATTGATGCAACAAAGTAATATACATAACAAGTACAGCATATGAGTATTTATGGCAAGAATTAGTTCAATTCACTCTGACACCAGATCCAATTTTCAAGAAATGTTTTCTTTGAATTAAATATTTTTTCAAATTTGAAAGAAGTTATGTTCATTAAATTCAATGCAATTACTAACACTTCTTCATTTAATAAAAGATTCCGTATAAAAAGTGACATGACAATATTATGATATATTTCAAATTTTTCAAAAAACTCTCCCTTCACTTTTTTCTTGATTATGCAATCCATAGAAATGAAGAAATACATCTAGATACCCTTCCTGCAGAAACATACAAGAAACATTTGTAAAACTGTGTAGTTTTCAAAAATCAGAAAACTTATAATAAAACTAGTAGTACTGCCAAAGCACATACTTTCTCGCGATGTATCTAAACTCTCCAAAATATTAAAGTGATTTGCATATTGTATTGAACAATTGGTTTGATGTGACATACATTTTAAAAATAGAACAAGGGAGTTGTACACTTGTTTAAAATTTCAAAATACAAAAATACAGACACTTTCAATTTATTTTGAATCTTATCAGATTGTATATGAGAGTAGAAATGCTTCAAATGATTTGCAATAAAGTTTCTGAAAGACTCAACAGTTTTCAGCACCACCAGAGACTTGTGACAAATAATTATCAATGAGACAGGCTCGAAACAGCGGTACTTCCCTCCAAAAAGCAGAGTCCGCACCTGACTTTTAACCACTTCAGCCTCCTGGGTTATACAGAGAATCAGCACTTCTATAATAATCATAAGCACCAAAAGACAATAATTGATTTATCGAGATATTTTACAAATTCAATAAGAGATGTGGAAAATTGTTTAGAAGTTGAAAACTCCAAAATCACATACACACACTTCCAGTTTATTTATCTTAATTAACTCTATTTGTGCTTAGAATTGCTTCAAATGGTTTTCAATAAAATTTCTGGAATTATCAATTATTTCCTGTGGCAATCGAGAATTGTGACAAACAATTTTCACTGACCAAGACTCGAACCTGCTATCTTCCCCTCCGAAGAGCTGAATCTATTAACACCAATAAGCCACCTCGACCATACAGGTAGCAGAAGAGATTCTCACTTATATAATAGTAAGCATGGTGGTTTCAGTTGTAACAATAAGAAGCCTAAAAATTGAGAAAATGTCCATTGGATGACCAAACAAGGTATCTGGGAAGAGAATCAGTCACAACTGAAATCCAAGTTTAGACTAATGAGAATACAAAACTAAATACCGCGAGAAAGTCTGTACCATTCTATAGCACCACTAGTTTCTTATTTATTTACTTAAAAAGCTAATTTTCTACAACAAACTTTTTCTGATGCAAATGTATCTCCAATTTTGTAGTTTTGAATTGTTTTTGCAATTTTCGAAAAAAAATAGCAATACCAAAAATACGACTAGAAACAATTTCTTACCGTTCTTTATTCTATAAGTGAAGAAAATTTAAAAAAAAAAAAAAAATTGGAGCGGTCTTTTGAGAATTTGTTTTTCGTAAATTTCAACCGCAAGTTACGCAAAAACAACTAGGTTTTCAAAAAAAGTGTCATTTTTTAAAGAGGTAATTTTGCCAGAGACAAAATCCTCTTATCTTCAATTATGTACTTTTGATTTTTTTGTATTTTTCGAAAAAACACAGCAATACTCGAAAATTTGACTAGCACCATATTTATTACCGTCCCTTATTACATGGGCGGAGAAAATTTAAAGAAAAAAAATTTGAGCGGTTTTTGAGAAGAAAAAAATCGTACATTTCAAGGGCAAATTACCCAAAGACCACTAACTTTTACAAAAATAATGTACATTACCTTTTTTAAAAACATTATTTTGTACAACAGACTTTGTCTGAGTCAAAAACCTTACCTTCAATTTTGTAGTTTTTAAATTATTTTTTGCAATTTTTGAAAAATCGGGGAAGTCCGCAAAACTGATATCTGAACTATTTTCTTAAACGTCCTTCGCACTATTGAACTACAAAATTTAATCAAACATTTTGGGAGTCGTTTTTAGAAAATTTCGAAAATGTGTTTGAGGCTTCATATGAAGTATCCTCAAAAATCAAAATATCCGTATGAAATTCCCAAAACCCACGAGATCATTCAGATCGAGTGAGGAATCTCAATTATGAAGAAAATCGGCTTAACGGTTCAGGCGCTAGCGTTGACCACGGACGGACGGACGGACGGACGGACGGAGATGTTTTCGCGTAAAACAATTTTTCAGTTTCCTGGACCCATACAACATAATGGAATCTGACTACACAACGTGTTGGGGAAATTTATTTACTACAAATAGGAACAACAATTATTCTCTTTTTCAGCACCTGAGGTCCTATTTTTTCTAATGAGAACTCGTCTGTTTTTGCCATAGCATTACAATACTTTGTGTAACACATATGTAATACAAAAAAGAAAAGGACACATAAATCTCACTTACTTTGTTTGTGCGTGATAGTATTCTACCAAATGCTGCAACAATTCAATGCCCTTCTTCGTTTTAATCTCATTTACTTTAATGAGATACTGAAAAATAAACGATATTAAATTAAGATGGCTTAAAAATAGTTACAATATATTTCTCGTTGATTGAGATGAACATAAATGAAATTTTCATAACACCCAAGAACTAAAAATTTGTACCTCACACATCTGTAGTTGAAAGACCCTTCGCTCTTTTTCCATTTCATCAGCTATCTCAGCTGACGTAACTTCAGAGCGAATGAGTCCAGCCTCTTTTGCTTGTTGTTTCTTCTCTTTCTCAATTTTAGCATATTTGGCCTCATAGTCTCGACAAGCTTTATCAAAAGGCCGTTTGAGATCACCTCGTACACCACGAAGTTCTCCTTTCAGTAAACTATCCAAGGGGAACATCACGATGTTGTTTATATTCTGCATCTGAAAGTCCCCAAAATGCATATTTATGTTAGTTCACTTGCAATAGAAACATGTTTAATCATGGTACTTCTGGAGAATGAAATGTATATATTAATTAAGAGGAATATTTTTAGTCTTTGAATGTGTATTCCTTGTAATAAAAGCAATAAAGTAAGCGTGAAATGCTATGATAATTACCATAGCACACAATTGTGGAAGAACATGAAAATTTTAACAGAAACATCCAGAACAGGGAAGTATCAGATAATTGACACAGAAACTACAAGAAGAAAAGTCTACAACACATATGTAGGCATGCATAATATCATGATACTAAAGGGTATGTAAAAACAGAAGTGAGAGAAAAAAAAACTAAGAAACAATAAAAACTCAACAAATACAACTGTATCTTTCAAGAATTCTGATAATAAACAGAGGTGTTTATTGCACACATTATAAGCCATAGTTTTGCATTTCAACAAATAAATAACATATTCAATGACTGACTTGAGAAGTACAGAAGTACAGATAAATGAGAGTCCTTAAAGAAAAACAAGCTATTCTAAAGATTTAATACAGTAATGTATGCAATGAAATTGAATAGTAGTATCTGGGCTAAATAACATTGCCCAGTAATTTAAGTATTAAGTACAATAACATTTTAAAATCCAATATGTATGCAATTTAAAATCCATACGAAAAGAAATAGACAAACATATTACCCATGACACAAGAATGTTATTATACATACCAATGTTTTCATTAATGCAGATAACTCCTTAGTAACAACAGCAAACTTGATAAATGCAGCACCAATGTCTGGTTCTTGATCTTTATTCATTGCAGCACCTCCAAGACGCTCCAGAGAACGTGATAGATACATTTCATTATCCACATGAGCTGTAAAAATTAATAAAATATTTTTTTTCCGACAAAATACAAAAATTGTTACTTGCTGTCTACTTATAACTTTGGTGCAATGTAACTCCAGTGTAAATGTCTCTTATTTCAAAAATGTCTTTTCCAATGTTTGGAAATACAGATAATAAAGAAATAATATTTTAAATCACTTTTTTGAAATACTTTGTACAAACACTAATTATTCTCTATAAACTAAACTGTTCACGGAAAGATGATGTTGGTGTAACTAGACTGATGCAAAGGACGCACCTCATCAGAGCCCTTGAATGAGGACCCTTGTCAACACCTAGACAAGGTTGGGTCATGTTCAGAAATATGTTGATGCTATCTTGCGGTAAAAACTTATATAATTACCAAATTACTTGTCACCAAAATATTAAATTAATTATAGCTGCAATTGAATGTGGGAGAATTATGTCCAGAAATGACAACAACAGCAAATTGGTAGTACTACTACTGAATGGCAGAACAATACTTTCCCCCTCAAGTTCGTTTCCTTATCTATTTACTCAAAGTTAACTTTTCAGTTTTGTTCCAGTCTTCTCAGATGCCATCTATTTGTGCCTAGAAAACATTTTTTCACGTTTCTTAATTTTTCGGATCACTAAAAGTTGAATTTAAATATGTCTAAGACTATTCTAGGAAGGTAAAACCTCGCCTTATATGTACGTGCATTTTCAATGAAATATTTGGAGCCGTTTTCAAGAAAATAGTGTTTCAGTGTTTCTAAAATCGCGAAATTTTGAGCTAATTTTCTCCGAAAAAGTATGAGTAGTATTCTAGAAATATTGTAGAACATCATTAGAAACCATTGCACAAATAAATGCATTATTTTATTTTAAAAAATATATTGTAAGTATTAGCGACGCGAGATATTTCCAAAATAATATATTTATGTAATTTTTGACAAACTAAAAACAAACGAGTACAAGAATACAGCAAAATGGAATTTATGCCATCTTATACAAAACATTTATCACAATTGTCCACACTTCACTGAAAAGCTAATGCAGTAAAATCTGTCAAAACCCGAATTTCTACATGACGGAAACTTGCCTTAACCGGAAATAGTGGCACGTGACGAAGTTGAATGGTATTTCATACAGCATAAAACGGAACCTGTCCCACAAGGAAACGGAACGGTTTTTCATGTCATACAGGAGGAAAACAAAATGGAATTCCTGTTAATTTAATGCAAGTGGCAGAGAGAAACGAGATTTTCTTAACCCCGTAATGCCCAGCATCCTTCTTTGAGGACTCCCATTTTTGTTCAAATTTGCTTCTTTTGCCATACTTTGTGAATTTGTATTTCTACAACAGAAGTAGACACCCTAAACGAAACATATAAGCAAGTGTTTAATTTCCGATTGCCAGATGTCGATTTAGCCGTGATCGCTAAAGTATGGAACTCTCCTGGCCAGAGTGTATTCATGATAAATATTTTACGAAATGCCACATGATAAATATTTTACTAATTCGTTTTCAGAACAGGGTCCCTGGAATGAGAAACGCAATAGCATAAAATGGAGAATGTTTTCTTCGCAGGATAAATCTTATTTATAACGTATTGAAACGAAGACCAGAAATTATATCTAAAACACCTAATTTCACACTCGTCAATAGTTACGGGATTCACGCTGGAACAGCCATGTCTGCGGAATGAAACATGTCAAATGATTCATTGCTGATTAATTGCCACGTACTTCCGAGGCGAAAACGAGTTTGAGCTGGCGTGACGCGAGGCCAGTACATAAGTTAAATTCGCGTCGCAGCTCGACGGAAACCCTCAGATCATTTCACCACGATAAGAGGCATTAACTCCAAATTGTGACAATTAATTAGCAATAAATCAGCTAAGGGTTTTCGTCGAGCAGCGTCGCAAATTTAACTTAGGTGTGTTCTGGGTCCCAGCTCACATCCATTTTCGCCACGAAGATAAGTAGCAATTAATTCCAAATTGTAATTAATTTGCCATACATTATCTGAGGGTTTCCGTCGATCTACGATTCGCATCTTTTGTGTGTGCCCAGCTAACACGTTTTCGTCAGGAAGATACGTGGCAATTAATTCCAAATTGTGGCAATTAATTAGCAATAAATCATCAGAGGGTTTCCGGCGAGCTGCGACGCGAATTTAACTTATGTGTGACTTGGCGCCCAGCTCAAAACCCGATTTCACCACGACGATACGAGGCAAATAATTCCAAATTGTTTCAATTAATTAGCAATACAAATATCTGAGTGTTTCCGTCGAGCTACGGCCTGAATTTAACTTGTGTGTGTGCTGCCACCCAGCTCATATTAGTTTTCGCCACGAAGATACGTGGCAATTAATTCCAAATTGTGGCAATGAATTAGCAATAAATTACCTGAGGATTTCCGTAGAGCAGCTACGCGAATTTTAAATGTGTGTGTGTGTGTTGGCGCCCAGCTCATTGATTCTTTCGGCAAAGTAATAATCTTTGTCAATTATGTGTCGTTTCTTTTCACTTAGAACTCTTTTAGAACTCTCTGATGAGAACATAGAAGGCGATGTTCGTTGCAGTTTTTGCTAAAGCTCTCCCAATTCATCCAAGCAATATTTCGCAGCCTCAACACATGTACCGTTTTTAAGAATAAATAGTTTAAAGAAAATAAAAGTTACCTATATTTGACAAAAAATACTAATGTTTTTGAAAAATTGAACATGACATAATTTTTAGTTGTTTTTCAGAAACACTTTTCATTATGAAAAAATGTTTATCTTCATAATTGTAGCTGTAGGAAGACGCCGAAAAATGTTTTGAATTTTCAAAAAATCAGTATTTTTAACGAACGCGAGCCCTGCGCCATCCCCGTAAACGTCATTCACACTATCCAACAACAAAGTTTAATCAAAAACATTGGAGCATTTTTTTTTAAATTTGGTGCTTTATGTAAAGTACTCCCTAACATTTTTACAACACTGAAAGAAAGGACACCAAAAACAAATCGAGGTACGTAGACCACTACAGCACTACAATAGAGAACTACAGAAACTGACCGAATTCCCGAATGCAAACGATGTCAAAAACTTTACCACACGAGGACATACTGTCGACGACGAGTGACTTGCGCCCTTTGCGCCAAATACCACTCCACCGAAGAATGCCCTTCCTTTTCCTTAAATCAATTTACTCCCGCCTGTTGCAACTGCAACTGCAACCCCCTTGCACACGATCCAATCTGCCCCTACCTTACCAAAGCAAAGGAAACCAGAGAACAACCAAACACCTCTACCCAAGCACCCCCTCCCATGTCAACAAAGTTCTTCCCACCCTTCAGGCAACAAAGTAAATCCTACTCCTCTGCTTGCGATCCCAACCACCAACCTCCAAACCCAAAACCTACAACCACTCAAGACATGAAAGACCTCTTCTCCCTTCTCCAATCACCTACCCTGAAAAAAACTCCCTCCTCACCTAAGAACTTTCATCGACATCCTTAACGGCCCAGAGGCCATCCTCACAAAATTAATAACTGTACGCAAAAAAATTGTTGAAATACTAAATTAATGACTCCCCCATCGCGAATCCTAACCTTTTCCTCATGGAACGCACGTGGCGGCTTAGCACAGAAAAAAACTATTCTTACCCAGTTCCTAAAATACTACTCCAATGGGATCCTACTACTTCAAGACATCCCCACCAACTCCATAATCCAAAATTACATCATATACCGGAATGACAGGATCTTCGCCCCCGGAGGCGGCACGGCCATCCTCATATGACGACCCCTCCAACACATTCCTTACCAACTTCAATTCACAGCTCCACTCACCCTACTTGGAATTCCCACCACTCCCGTAACTATCATCTCAGCCTGCAAAAGACCCCATTCCTCGTGTCCTATCTCTGATTTGAATATACTTAACCATCTATCGCATTCCCTTATCCTTGCAAGCGATGTCAAGTCTAAATTCACCGGATGGGGCTGCTCGACTAGTAACATAGCTGGATTGAGACTTGAAGGCTTCCTGAACAACAATCCTCAAATCCACATCAAATGTCACCCTAAACCCACCCACACAGTTAACGGAAACCCTCAAGATATCCTCGACGTCGTCCTACACTCCTCCTAATTCACCATACCCAATCCTAACTATGACCTCTATGACTTTCCGACCACTTCCTAATAATAGTCACCTCCTAACCCACAACTACCTTCATTTCCCCAAAACCCTCAACCATTCATAAAACGAACTGGAATGCTTACAAATATATCCTGGCCAAAAATATATGTCCCAACCAACCTCCAAACAATCCCTTCCATAGACAAATCCATTGACTACCTAAACCACCATATCCTTCACACCTACAAATGAACCACCACTCACACCAACAACTACACCCTACCCTCCCCGACGAAATAATACTGACAATCAGACTGAAGAGACAAATACACCAATTCTACAAACACAGAAGACGACAAAAAACTTTTAAAACAGACCCAAAGACAGGTTCACTCAATTCTACGGAATTACGAAACAAATACAATGACTTACTTAAAAACCAGATCTTTATGATGACCATGGTTCACTTCTTTATGGTAACAGGTGAGCTGTAACATGTACCGCTAAAACTATAAATCATAATTCACCAATTTTAAGAAGTTTGATTTCAATAGATTTTTACTATTTCCCCTTATTTTTCCAAAATTACGCCGAATATGCAGAAACATTCAGTAACCGTGAAATATGGCAAAATGTACAAAAATAGGCAAAATTCAATTTGATAGGAATGCTCTACTGGGAATTGGGCAGATTCATTGGTGTGATCACGTATCACGTATTCAGGCAGGTTCAGATTGGTGTGATCATTTTCCAAGTAACAATTAGCACCAAAAAATGCAATTGCATACAAAGCCGGGCTCTACATATAATGAATGTCTACCTCATGGGGACGAGCGCGATCGACGTACCGTAAACATCAGGTGACTTCCTTCCATTCCGTTGCACTACATCGTTGAAGTACAAAAGATTTCCTAAAGGTCAGAGTTCTCTGACATTCTCTGATCTTTGCCTGCCTACGTCGCGTAAGATTTCGTTTCAAGCCTTCATTCTTAGTCCATCGGAAGGCCAGGACAGCCTAAATACAAAGTTCACAAAAATAAAAGGTTCTAAATAAGTTGAAAAACCATTCTCCAATGTCTCTAGTTCTCTGATTCTTCATTCTTACACACCAATGATCCCCATACGTCCTACTTATTTCGACCTGCGAAGGTGACATTTCGAAATAAATTCCTAATTTTTCACATTCGCATGGCATGTTCAAGCGAAATTCTTCATTGTTAAATGTATCTACATATTTATTTACAACTTCCTCGGTATGCAACTATACATATACAAATGTATGTTTGCCGGCAAGCATATACCATTGGGCGGGTTTGCCAAAGGGGATCATGGGGTGCAACAGTTCCTTACCTCAACCAGCGCTCTAAAATCACAGTATCTTCCTTTTCAATATCATCAATACCTACTTTTCCAATATCACTCGCCAACATATTTTCCTAGCGTCGTTGAATGAATAATTTAAAGGTGTTCCCATGGGAAGGATTGGGAAACATGGTGATGACTTTTACCTTTCCTCGCACTGCATTGGAAATAAAAACTGCGTTAAATGTACCGTGCCTGAGATACGTGCAAGGTATTCGGAGTTATTCAGGTTGCCTGCCTATGCACAACAAATTCTTCACGCGAACAAAAGAATACATCTTTATGAAACCTGCAAATCCTTCACGCTTCAAAGAAATGCAATATTAACTTGTGTAAAGTCCGTTATTTGAATAAATGTCCACATTCATCATACATCCTTCCTTAGACTCGGCTCTCAGATGTAAAACTATGTGAAGTGTTTTAATAGTAATATGAATAAAATCTACGCAGCATGTTTAAATACAGTGGAGTATCAGATCGCCAACTTACAGTTCCCAGAATTATGCACAGCTTTAATTGCTTTTCTCATCTTCGTGAGGCCATCGCGGTCGAAATCCAGAGTCTGGAAAAGAACAATACATTAAAATGATTACTAAGAAGTACATAACACACGGGAGATAGCACAAAACACACCAAAAAAAATCAATTGCTGAAAACAATAATTCCATCGCATTGCGTACAATACGGGTGGTTGGAAACAACGGGTTGCAAGATTTTATAACTAAATAGTGGTGCTACAAAAGCACAGACTTTTTCGCATTATTTCTAACTGCTCCGCTGTTATACTACAACTTAACCCTGTAAAAATCAGCAATTTTTCCCCGTTCCAAGACCCGAACTCAGATCCTCCTATTTTGCCTACACTCTACACTACACAGAAACACCGTATGGGTGCAGCAGACACACAAAAATGTAAATGTCACTTTCATGTAAAACCCCCTCAAAGATCAAAATATTCGTTTAAAACTCCCACATCATCCAGTTCGTTCAGATCCATCGAGGAAAATCAATTTTGGAGAAAATTAGCTGAACAGATTGGGCGCTAGGGTTCACCACGGACGGACAGCGAGTTGTTTTGCCGCCAATCTTAGTTTCGGAACCAAGGACCCACAACACATGAATTCTGAGAACACCACAAGTTAGCGGATTTTTTTCTGTATTTAACAACTGGATTTGTCAACATTTTTATTATCTGGGCTCGGAAATCAGATATTTTCTGACGAAAATTTGCCGTTTTCCGGCGCATGATTGCATACCTTTCTCTTGTTAGGAAGTACCTTCGAAAGAGCGAAAAAGTAGTAATAATCCCACGTTAAGGATATTAAGGCCGAAAAACGAAGCTGGTCCCATTGGTAGTGTCTACATTCATGTTGGCAGATTCAGTAGTTTTTAGTTAAATAGGACCATACAGATGGACAGACAACTGATTTGTCGTGAGATACGTTTTAGCAATCGAATAAGAAAGTTGAAAATTCGAAAATCATATACAGACCTTTCAGGAGTATTTATATATAATCAATCTAATTATCTATAATCAATGCATTGATTGCATTCGCTTCAAATGATTTTCATTAACGTTTCTCGAAAACTCAATAGTTTTCTGTGAAAATGAGAAACAAATTTCACATTTTCAGAAAAGCTGAAACGATATTTTCTCAAAATAGATTCCAAACTTTTCAACAAAAAATTGCATACATGGCAAGGTTTACGTTGTTTTATTTTACTAAAGATTGTATCTAGCCGACAGCCCGTTGCCCTTTTCGACCCGATGGAACGTATATTCGATCGTATTCGAAACTATTGTGTGCTTCTTTCATCTAGGGTCAGCAGAATACGTGGCCCTTCGCGACAACACATACACGACAACGGACAATCAAGGCGAGACTCGAACCCGCGACCCCTCAGAGCCGGTTCACGCAATCAACCATCTCGACTAATGAAATCGACCTGTGTCTTACTCTTCTATAATATTCTTAAAGATATGATTGTTTCAGTTCTACCATTAGGGAGTCGAACATTAGAGAAAATGTGAAAAAAAAAAGTCCTTTGAGCGGGAAAATTGGTAGCTGGGAAGAGAATCGATAAGCTAGTCCAGATTAAAGAGGTTAGAAAACTACTACTACGAAGTACCATCGTAGGGGCGAAGATGTAAAAATGTGCTAGTTCCAATTTTGCCAAACTCTCCGTATTTGCGAAAATTGCAAAAATGATGTGTTGAAAAAATGTTGCGTTGACACAATTACATTTTTAAGCGTCGGCCCAAGTTGTCACTTTACGTTTCTTCTTTAGCGTAGAGGGATAGTTGACGGCGAGTTAACTAGAAGGACCTACGTTAGAAACTCAACAAATATTTATTGCTGGTTGAAAATGCACTTGCATGTTCATGTAGTAGTCTGTTTTAGTGTCAGAAACAGCTGGGGTCGGCAAAACTTTAACTATCTTTACAGGAAAAAGAACTGCACTTTCGTAATTTTCAAAAAATCTGTGATTTCAACGAACATGAGAATTGCACCATTCTCTTAAACGCCCTTTACGTTATTCAAAGACAAAGTTTGATCAAAACATTTGGTACCATTCTCAAAAAGTATTACAGGCTTTATGTAAAATACTACCAAAATTCAAAATATCGGTTTGAAACTCCTAAAATCTCGAGTCATTCAGATCGATTGACGAATATTAAGTCTGGCGAAAATCGTTTTAGGTACTACCGTTTACCACATACGGACATAAGTTTGACGAAAATCGATTTTCGGTATCAGGGAACCATAAAACACGGATTTTGGCTACACCACGCGTTGAGGATTTTTTTTAGAGGATAGAGATTTTAGGTTAGAGGATATTTAGAAACAAGATTTATCCATTCAGGAGGGCCCGGCAAAAGGATATTTTCTGCCGAAAATGTACAGTTTTCAAGTGTTACGCTTCCTACGCAAGTACCTTCGTAAGAGCGAGAAAGTGAAAATGATGAAAAATCTACGTAAATATAAAATATGACGAAAGACATCAAATGTAACACGTTGACGAATTGTTTGCCAATATGGCAAAAAAAAAAAAAAAAAACCAAATTCTCACTTGACTTTCTCGTAGGCGTAAAAATCTATTTCGATATTTCTCCGGATATATGCATTTTGGGGGTCCCTTGATACCGAAAAAGAGTTGTTTTTTTCAAAACGTCCGTCCATCCGATGTGTGTGAACAACACTAGCATCTACACCATGCGTAGAAGTTTTTCCAAATTGAAGAAACCCTTGTCGATTTGGCCCGAGTCAAAGATCTGAGACTTTGAAAAATCATCATTACATGAGATCCTTGGCACATTTCCAGAATTTTCTCACAAAAGCTCCAATTTTTTTCATTCAATTTCTTGTAAGAATAGAGTAACATACACATGTAAAGGTGGCACAATTCCGATTTTCAAGATTAACTCTGAATTTTCAAAAATTTCAAACTTTGAAAATTTAAAAACAATGTTGGGCATTTTCCTACAACTACAAACTTAAAGGTAGATATTTTTCCTTCAAATAAAATTTGTTCTCCATAGTGACTTCTTTCATTACGATCATATACACTTTTTTGAAAATTTTATTAGTTTCCGCGTAATATTGCTTGCAATATGTGCATTTTAAAAAATTTACAAAACAAGATTTTTTCTCAGAAACGGCTCCAAATGTTTTCTGTAAAACTTTTGGGAGGGATAGTGCTAAATGTACTCTATAAGATAACAAACATCAGTTTGCAGTATTCTTTTGTTGTTGTTTTTTCAAAAGTTACAAAACTGTTTTTTTACATATCTCCCATGTTAATATTTACACTAGCGGCAATTTGTTTACCTTATTATATTATGAGTACATGTGCTTTACATAATGTCATATAAAGTTACTCGAAAACTCAAGATTTTCTGTGAAAACTCTCTCAAAAACCCGCATTTTCAGAAACGTTCAAATGCCATTTTCTCACAAATGGCTCCAATTTTCTTCAAATTTGTTAGTGCCAAACGGATAGTGCTACTTGCACTCTTTCATATCACGTAAAGGTAATTTTGGATATTTTTTGTTGTTTTCTCCCCAAAAATTACACATTTTTATAATAGTTCCTTCACGCCGTTAATATGCTAATTTCCACCAATTTGTAAACGCTATTGTATTTGTGAATTAAAGTGCATCAAATGACTTCTAATGAAGTTTTCCGAAAACTCAAAAGATTCCTGTGAAAAGAGCTTCAAATTTCGAATTTACAGTAACGGTCAAATGCCATACTCTTAAAACTGTTCCAAAGTGTTCGAAGAAAATTGCTATTTAGTACGTGGGTTTACTGTTCGTTAATATTCTTAAAATAATACTTCTGTTCTACTGTCAGGAAACCTAAAAATTTAGTAAAATTTCATACAAATATACTTCGCGTGGCGATATATGGCAGCTGGCAAAAGTGTGGCAAGTCCGAATAGATAGCCGAGACCAAAGGAAATAGAAAACAACGGTAAAGTCTGTGCGATTGGTAGAACCACTAGTTTAACTATGTTATTTGAATTAATAAAGTAATTGAATTTATAGATGCATATTGAATGGGTAATTCAAACCATTCAGTTATAGTCGTGTTCTCTCCCTTCTTTGTTCATACTGAACATTACTTCTGTACTTTATGAAACATTAAGACTCTTTAATGTTCTTTGGCTGAGTGTGTTAGAAGCAAAGCAGTAGAAAGAATTTTCGAAATTTTACTAAGCTTACTAAAATTCATTTTGACCATTCTTCAGAACAATCCTAACTGACGAGCAGGACTACGTTGAATATTACACAAACATATGATGGGCAAATCATACAATACTGAACCGGGGTTTGGGAGTTTTTTCCATGGATTATTGCACTTGCTAAGCCCTCACAAAAAGTATTTCAACACTGGAGTACAATGAACGAAAACTCTACAGGGTTCAATGAACATAATCCTACCATTCAGCATTAGTCTATTAATACACTTTTATTTCAGCGGTTATGAGACGTGACCGCACTTCACCTAAGCATAACTTTCACTTCTTTTATTGTTTCGAGTAGTTACACAAATTGCACTTGCAATTACAAAGAATGTTGTACCCGACATTTAATTTTCAAGGATAGTTTGTTAGAATATTTCAATGCTGTGGGACTAGCAACTAAATTCTGCAATGCAAGATCTTCTGATCGAGACAACGAACGAACGCCAAGTCTTCTATAGTACGCAGTCGCTTCAGAAACCTTAAAAGATTGTGTTCGTTGTGGATATTCAACCTGATAAACCACTTGATAAGGAAGAACATCTTTCGTGTTGAAGATCAATGACATTTTTATCCGTGCTTCAACACGGCTGAACACGATAAGGAGAATATAAGATAAAAGACGCAATCAGATACCGGTGTTCCTCTGACACGTTTGTAATCAGTAATCACATAAATCACTTAATATAAGTCTACAATATTAGAGAACTCCTTATGAAGTTTTTAGGGCCTCCTTTTCTGTGATGATCGCAGTCCAAAACTTCTTATGAATGAAAATTGAGGGCAGAATTATTAATGGTTTTAACTAATAAGTA